CAGAAAAACGCTATGCTCACACTTTGTGAAGATATCAAAGAAAAGTCGGAACTTGATGTCTATCCAATTAATCGACTCTTCATATACTTTGAGCAGTACGCCATTACCTCCAGGGAAACCGTAAGGAATCTTATAATCGCAGCCATAGCAGTACTTCTTGTTACCAGTCCCATTTTGGTGGGCTGTACGGTTACATTCCTTGTGATGCTGAGCTTTGCGGACCTGATAGGCGAGTTTTTTGGACTAATGGTCATCTGGAATGTTTCCCTTAACTCTGTTTCCATGGTTAACCTCGTTATGGCCACTGGATTTGCAGTCGATTACAGTGCACATATAGCGCATGCGTACATCACATCAAATGAGGGAACAGTTAATGGACGAGTAATGGATGCCTTGAGTACTTTAGGAGCAAGTGTATTTATGGGAGGTTAGTCATGTGTACATTCAAGTTTATTTTTCGTTTTTAATGTGCACACTTTAGATTAGCCCATGCAGTTTTTTTCACATAAACAATTCGGCAGGGAGTCGACCGCATCAAAGGAAAACTACAAGTTCTTCATTTGGACGTAAAATAGACAATTTATTCAATTCTTTTTTTTAACACAGTTGCCTCCACACTGTAAAAACCTGGTGACCGTTTTTCCAGCGCTTTGACGTTACATTTTTGGTTTCTTTCTTTTATTTACAATTTGTTAAGGATCCAGTACCTTCCGTAGCATGGTCGTTCTTGCATTTGCGGCATCACAGATCTTCCGAATATTCTTCAAAATGTTCTTCGGTATCGTCGTGCTCGATCTTGTCCATGGCTTGTGCATCCTACCTGTTCACCTATCCTTGCTTTGCTGGAGACCAGCTGTTAGAATCAGGCCTCCCTTACCCGAGGACACTTCTGGGAAACAAAGTAATGTATGCAGCAGGGTGGATGCACTCTGCGCTCCTGAATCTGGAAAGAATAATTGTGACAGGCAAACAAACGTCTAATAGAGGTGCCTAGGCCTTGCAGGTTTCTATACTGCTTTGGCAGATGTGCCATGTATTCTGCTAAAAGTCCAGTAAAACTGCTGACTTAGCTAACTAAGCCAACTAAATGACTTTTAACATCGAGAAGACAAGTTTTCAATTGGGCCACATGGAATCGGGACAACGCCTCGATAGCGCTCAAGCAACTGTAAAGCCACTGCAAAGATTGAGTATCGTAAAAACTTAACCAAAGTAACATAATGGCTGATCCCAAAATTGTATGTGTCAAATGAAACGAATAAGAAACCAGAGCACCACATCTAGCGCGGAACAAGCAAGTGGAAATGTCGTGATTGGTTTCAAATTTTTGTCGACACTCAATTAAAGGTCCCTTCCCGATTCCGCCTTTGATATTGGTAAACTTATTAAGACAGTTATTCAATTTCGCCTAGGTAAATATGAGGTTAATTTGAAGCTTAAAAATTTATGCAGAAAGATTAAAAATGCGTAACCGCTCAGTGAGAACCGATCTATATGGTTGGTTCTATGTACAGATATTCGGATTTGGCATTTGGGTTTGAGTAGATTTTTTGAGAGTCGTTTCAGACAGAGGATTTGTAGACCGGCCGATTTTTTTGGGTGCCAATCCCTTGAAACTCATTGATCCTCAAGTCCCAATTCTTAACATGCTATGCTAAAAAATTTACTCAATGGATATGTATATTTAGTAAAAGATAGTTACATGGAGCATTCAGTAAATCAGATATATTGCTTTCACCGTCTAATGATTAGGAGGAAATATTTAAATACTAAATTTTCAGCCTCTTTTTGTATTTTTTTAAAGTGGTACAAATAGTTGGTACAAATAGTTGGAATAAATCCTATCATAAATTAAGTGTTTTCTTCGACATTACTATGACTGAATAAATAGTGACATCTGTAGGTTAATCAAAGAAAGTTTTCTTATGTACTGGCATAACTTATATTGTGCTGGGAGTAAGAAGAAAAGTTAAATGCTAAAAAGCATTGTGTATATCTTTCACCTCATATGACTAAAGGCTATGGAACATTATTCATATGTGAAAAATATCTATATTCAATAATTGCAACATGCCAATAGCAAGCGCGATGTTTTGCTGAACGGTCAACGCTGTAATCACTTTTCACCCCACGAGCGGTTGTGGGTAACACAGGAATTGTGCATCAATTTTGTTGGAAGTTGCCATCCCCTCAGGATGAGACGAACTTTATCGCATCTACGCCATCCGTACAATTACTCTTAGAGAGTTTTGAAACCACCATCTTGATGCATACAGTGTAATGTTTCGCAATCATGCCACCGTAGAATAAATGGAAAGGTGTGCGGGCAATCTTTCCTTTCCCATAGTCACCCAAAGGGTGATAGGCCGGCTCCTGGGACAGGGAACCTCAGCTACGTCCAGCTGACCCCATCGGCTTTTCTGCTGAACACTTAACACAATCCTTTGCCTGACTAACCCTATTTCAGATTGGCTGCTGTATAAGATAGCTTTGTACCAGCGCGAAGGGGCAATTATAAATCGGCAGCTTGTGCAGAGAGAAAACTGGCCTTCAAACAAACTATCGAGGGCAAATTAGAGACGGCAACCATAGGCATACGAGCCGGAGGGGGGCGGGGGGGGGGCTGCAGCCCCCCCAGCTGCGGAAATTATGTAATTTTTCGGGCAAAACGCTCTTGATTAGGGCAATGACATTTGGGAGAAAACACTATAAAATAATGCCGTTGACGTGATTTCCAAAAGTCGTGAATAAAGTTTCTAGTTAATTACTTTTCAGGTGATTAGATGGCCAAAAGTGGTGTCTTCAGAGATTTCGTAATTTGAATAATATCGTGTAAAATGTAAAGTGTTTTGTTTCGGTAACATCTGCTGCAGTTCGTGTCTAATTTTCGCGCCAATTTCGCGGAGAGCGGGAAAACATTTTGACGAGTTCACATGAAGGTTTAGGTTTCCTCATTGAAGTTCGTTCGATTCGTTGTGAAGTCCGTGGACTTGGAAGGTTCAACAGGACGCGAAAAACTTAGGTGACTAAAGCTCAAGCGGCCGTCAAGGTCAACAAGGCGAAAGGGAAATACTACACAAATTCCATTAGGTAATTCGTTTATTCTATTCGATCGATTCTATCCGTAAATCTCGGTATTAAAGTGTTACATAATACGAGTTGATGTCACCCAGCTGGTAACTACCAGTTATTGACAGCTTTCAATGATAGCAGTTTCATTAGATGGGAAAATGATGAACGTCTCCGTTTGCATCCCGATTTGAACCCTTACCCTTTCGGGCATTGTGTGTTTTTTTCGGGCGAGGAGGTCACTGCCCCCCCAAGTCCAAAGGTGCCCGTACGCCTATGACGGCAACTATGCCTTAAGTAATGCTAAACCAACTATCAGGAGCCATTCCTAAACCTGATTCACCAGAAGTGCTCTTAATCCACGTTTTCCCGTCCATTCAGGCGAGCACTCACATATTACATTAAATATCGATCATTGAAGTTTGAAACTTTGGATTATACAATTAATTTGCTAACCCTAGATTATTTCATGGCGAAAATAAAATTTTATGCATGCATAAAGATCAGTTCCTTTTGATCGTGGGGTTGAGGGCAGCCCCTCTCCACTTTTAGATACACTTGAAACAAAACGGATATGAGAAAAATAAGATATAAAAATACAAAACGATACACAAGAAAATAAAGAAGAAAAGAAAATGAAAGACGTTCATTGTAAAGGAGGAAAAGTCCTAGCTATTCTAAGTGCCCGAAACATTGTAGAACTGATTCAATTTGGTTTAATTTTGCTGTGTTTTAATTTTAGCGCTATCTCATCAGGCTCCGTGTAATGATCTTCAGTCTCTACAATATTGAGATGAGCTCCTTCTATTCTTTTTTTGAGGGATTTCTTTGAAAAATTACTATTATATTCATCAGGTGTGTCATTCCACATTTCAACATCAACACGCAAAAAGGCCTTTCTTTTCATTTTAAGTCTAGTTTAACGGCCAAAACGCTCGCTCATGTCCAAATGAAACGCGCTCTTTAATATACGAAATACAATGAAGCGAAGTGAAGCGATCGCTAAAATAAAATTACAAACAATAACTTACTACGATTATATATAGACAAATTGACAAACTAGCACAATAAAGACCCTTAAGAGTTGAATCGTATAAATTATCCCATGTCATCTATCATAATTTCTAAAGCCACAGGTGTTAAAGTAAAGTAAAGTTATTAAAAAAGGCATCCTTCATTGTTTTGGTCAGGCCAAACAGTATTTCCACAAAACTGTTATAATCTATAAATTTTATAGATTTTCCAAACAATTGTTTTCTGTTTACATGAGTCATTTGAAATGACTCATGTCAACAGGAAATAATAACAGTGTTTGAAAAATCCATGCAAGGAAACTTATTGGAAAACCCCTTCTCTCATTAACACGAGGGAGTGGTACAGTGTCACAACCCTTGAACATGAGCGAATGTGCCTATAAACTAAAAGGTACTCACCCAAAAGCACATCTCCTTGGAGTATGTATCTATGAATGACTATTAACTGTTTCCAACAGTCCAGTGTGTCTAAAAGGATTGGAATATGTACACGTATTTTATTGAAATATTGGCCACAAAGCAATGTTAATATCCTTGAATAAGGGAAATAAGCATTTTCCAAATAAAGTAAGAAGCGCAACTTCCGAAGTGTATAGTGGTTGATTTAGTATCTCTTCCTGAAAAGCCTGAAAATCTCTATCCCTACGATCAAAACCATTTAAACCACGTTCCTTTTCAACAATGGAATCGTGGGCACACTAACCTTCAATCTACTGGTGGTTGCACACATGATGCAAACAACTCACCCACAGGGTCTAATTAAAGGGAAAAAGAGGAAAAACTAAAGGACTGTCTTGGACTGAATTACAATATTTGTATAACTATTGTAAAACTGGTGTTCTTAATGGCACTGTCTCTTAGCTACAGCCCCAACCATCAAGGGTTCCATGCCTGGTTGTTTATAAACTGCAACACTAATATAGAGTGTTACGAGGATCGAATTATTTTTACTGAATCTGTCACGCAATCCCAGACTTTTCTCGAATTATCTATAATCTGTACTATTCCAGAAACTTCTTTCATGTGACTCAGCAGTTTCCAAAAATAGTACAACTTGTAATACGCTATAAATAGTAATAGAACATTCTAGATAACTAAAGTAAATGTATAAAAGCTGGCTTGTGAGAAGTACAAAA